TTAGACAAAGTGTCTGGCCTCAGCGTCCTTGCCGCAGCTCTCAGCTCCCGAGGGTGATGCTGCCGTGGTCGGAGTGGGATCCGACGCTGCCTGCGATAGCTCGGTTCAGAGAAAAAAGAGGCGACTTGGAGGTTCAGGGCCACTTACGTCTGATTTACAAGTAGGGTAAGTACGGCTACAACCTTGTTTCCGGACCCCCCCCCAATCGCTTGGCCCGCGGCGCGCGCAAGCGTTTACAATTATCTTCAAAACTCAGCCTCCCTGAACCGCTGACGCTCTCAGGTCCTCCACGCTCTTCGCGGGCTCCGACTGCAGGATCTTTGTAGCGGCCGCTTGCGCAGTGGGTGCTGCCGGAACGCCTTCCGGGCCCTTCGAGCGTTTGGGGACGACTTCGACTTCCAGGTCGCTGCCAGACTTTTCCACCTTGACCGCGGCCACCGCAGCCGGCGCGACCGCAGCCGGCGCCACCGCAGCCGGCGACACCGCAGCCGGCGCCACCGCAGCCGGCGCCACCGCAGCCGGCGCCAATGCAGCCGGCGCCCCCGCAGCGGGCGCCGCAGCGGGGACCGCAGTGGGGACCGGAGCGGCCACCGCAGTGGGGACCGCAGTGGGGACCGCAGCAGGTGCGGCCGCTGCGGGTGTCACCGCAGCCTGTGCGAACGCAACTTTGGGGTTGGGCCAAACACTTCAAACTTCTGCTGACCACCAAGCCTGGGCAGCAGTTGGTGACGCCCGCGAAGAAGGCTGCCGAGAAGGCTGCGAAACAGGCTGTCGGGCTGGCGCCTGCGACAGCAGTGATAGCGGCGATCACCCACAAAAAACTCTCAGATCGCGTGAGTTCGTATGTTCCTGCAAGAGCCAGATTTCGTCCCAGCTGCTAATTCACAACACGCCGATGACATTTAGAGAGCAAGAACGTCGGGTCTCAAATTGTCTGTCAGCCGTCACACAGCAGCCTTCGACAACACAAACACAAACAAAGCCAAGAGTCCAAGCGGTTCAGAGGATTGGGGGACAAGGAAGCAACATGCAAAACTGGGTTCAGAACACACTGCCTGCAGGAGAGGCCATAAGTGGGTCAAAACAGCCACCGGACAGGGGCTGAACAGCACCATCCCCATCGCGAATTACGCTGTCGGGCAGAAGCAAATATTCACGGTGAAAGGTTTGGAGTTCCAGGGCTAAGGCATGCACTGGTTCAGTTTGACTCATGCCGTGCCCCTTATGAAATACAACTAGACAACGGTTCTCCCGAAAGCGTTGCTGAGACTTTTTTGGGCCAAGATTAAAACCATGTGAAACCCAAAGCAAGCAGGACGAAAGGCAAGGCGAACGACGCGACAACACGGGTCATCACACGGTTCTTCCTATCCATTGTCTCAAACTTCATCCCAAACATGATTTTCCATTGCACCTTTGCGCCAGTGATGCGGCAGCAATGTGCCCGCCAACCCTACCCCGCCCACGAAACCCACGAAATCCATCACGCCATCCATCACCACATCCATCCACGCATCATCCATCCCCGACAACGGTAACGCAGAGCCTTTTGGAGGACCACCTCCGCTGAAAGACCCTCGCCACGCTTTCGGGAAGATTGGGCGCCTGCTTCGTCGGGCGGGCAGGTGGAGGTGCCTTGGCTGGCAGCTTCTTGGCTGCCGATGCCTTGGAGTGCCGCCTGGCCTTGGTTTGGGGCAATGTGACCCTGAGTGAGGTTAGCGGCACCGATTGTGACCATGTGAATTCTGTGCAAGAGACCGACACGGAAAACGGGGGGGGAGCCAAACAGTTAATCCCTTCCCCCCAAATATTAAACGGTGGGTCCCCCCCCCACCACCAATAGAAACTCGAAATGTGTCTTTTCATATTAGGGGGAGGTTGTTATCCAAATGTCATGTTTGGGGTCCAAAGGGTTTAGGGTCTAGGCTTCAGGCTTTGGAGGGTTTAAGTATGACCTAAACCTTCAGGATGTTAATTGGCTTGAGGGTTTGCTATCCCTAAATCCCCCCCCCCCAAATTCGCAATAGGGTTTAAACGGCGGGGTCGGTATCGGCAGGGTTGTCCGGAAAGTGTTTCTATCATTAGGGGTACGTTTGATAAACGGGGGAAGGGATTATTGCTCAGGCTCAACACCAGCACACAGCCATTGTCACCGGGTTTGCGCGCGCGTCCCTAAACCCTAAACCCTAAACCCTAAACCCTAAACCCTAAACCCTAAACCCTAAACCCTAAACCCTAAACCCTAAACCCTAAACCCTAAACCCTAAACCCTAAACCCCACCCCCCTGGAACCGAAACGGCAGCCCGAGCGGCACTTGGAGGTCGCAAGGCTGACGGCCTTCCCGACGAAGGCTGGGCCTCCGATTTCATCTTGGGTACTTACATATATATTTATATATATATATATATATATGTGTGTGTGTGTTTTTTCGTTTTACGGTTTAGGGTTTAGGGTTTAGGGTTTAGGGCTTAGGGCTTAGGGCTTAGGGCTTAGGGCTTAGGGCTTGCAACGTCTTACGTACAGCAACCGGGAATTTCCTCAGCACAAGGGGACCCTGTGAGACTTCGCCATCCACCCCTCACGCCTCTGCCCTTGAAGCCTCCACCCCAAGCCCCGAAACGTCAACAAAAAAAGCACAGGTTTAGGGTTTAGGGTTTAGGGTTTAGGGTTTAGGGTTTAGGGTTTAGGGTTTAGGGTTTAGGGTTTAGGGTTTAGGGTTATAAAGCCCAAAAAGCCTTCAGCCCCCCGAAAAACCCTTCAGCCCCTAAAGCCCTTCAAGCGCAAAACCCTGAGGCCTAAAGCTCTGCAACCCTAAACCCCTTAACCCTACAACCCTGCACCCACCCTCAAACCCTAAACCCTAAACCCTAAACCCTAAACCCCCACCTCTGGTGGGGCGACCATGTAGGGGTCATCCTGCGCGACGGGGAGGTCCTCCTGCTCAGATCCAGGCTCGCCGTGGGGCTCGGGTTCGGGTTTAGGGTTTAGGGTTTCGGGGTTTAGGGTTTCGGGTTTAGGGTTTAGGGTTTAGGGTTTAGGGTGTCGTGTTTAGGGTTTAGGGTTGAGGGTTGAGGGTCTATTGGGGCTGTGAGCAGGCTTTGGGGGCTCTGGACTCGAAGGTTTTTGGCGTGCATTTTTAGGGGCTGAGGCACGCAAGCTCCTTCGCGGCCGGCGACCCCACACCGCAACCCGAACCCCCCCCCCCCCCCTCCAAAGTACCCTGTGAGATACCCATACTGCTTAAACCCTGAACCCTAAACCCTTAAGCCTTGAACCTCTCAATAAGATTATGACCAGAGTTCCCCTTTCTTTTTGCACCCTACTTCCCTCAAGTATTCCCCAACACGTGACCCAAATCCCGTTAAACCCTACACCCTAAACCCTGAACCCGTTCCACAGTACCCTAAGCCCTAAGCCCTAAGCCCCCTAGACTCGAAGTCATTCTCATTGAGTACTTGGGGGGAGGGGGGGGGGGGGTGAAGTAAACAATCCTTGTCTGGGTTTAGGGTTTAGGGGTTAGGGGTTTGAGGTTTTGGGGTTTTGGGCTTGGGGCCATGAACCTCCAAGTAGGGCTTTGTAGGTGTTTTGTGTAAGGCTTTAAGAGGGTTTAGGGTTTGGGGTTTAGAGGGCCCCAAGCACCCAATACCTCAACCTAGCACCCTGACCCCTAAACCCTAAACCCTAAACCCTAAACCCTAAACCCTAAGCCCTAAGCCCTAAACCCCAAACCCTAAACCCTAAACCCTAAACCCCAAACCCTAAACCCTAAGACCCAAGCAACGGCCTCCGGCGCCGGTGCCTCCAGGTAGGGATCCACCACCGCAGCGGCCATCACGCCCGGAGCAAAGGATGCACTTGCAAGGAATTAGGGGGTTTGGGGGTTTAGGGTTTAGGGTTTTAGGGTTTCGGGTTTAGGGTTTAGGCTTTAGGCTTTAGGCTTTAGGCTTTAGGCTTTAGGCTTTAGGGGCGTGGGGTGTTCGGGGTGTTAGGGGTTTAGGGTTTACGGTGTGGGGCTCTGGAGTTGAGGGATCAGTGAGAGGGTCCAGGTTTTGGGACTGAGGGTGCTTGAAGAGGGAAGAGAAGGGAAGAGCTTGCGTTCTGGTGGGGCTTCAAGCCTGAAGGGCTCAGGGCCTTAGGGGCTCAAGGGGGTGCGGGGGTGTAAGGTTTAGGGTTTAGGGTTTAGGGTTTGGGGTTGAGGGTTGAGGGTTGAGGGTTTAGGGCTTAGGGTTTCTAGGTCTTCCCTGCAAAGACGCTAAGACCTGAGCATCCTGTGCTTCTTGGGACCATCGGGGGGGGGGGGTCCTTGAAGCCTGGACTGAGAGCCCAACGGCTGCAAAAATCGCGGCACCCTAAAGACCCTAAAAACCCTCAACCTGGCCAACCTTAGGAGGGTTTAGGGTTTAGCGTTTAGGGTTTAGGGTTTAGGGTTTAGGGTTTAGGGCTTAGGGTTGAATCATGAACCCTAAACTTTTCCCGAATTCCCAAACGAGCAGCCCAGACTGCGGCAGAGGGCTTGGGGGATGTCAAACAGGTCTGGGATACTACAGGGATCTCAATGATTAGAAGAAGGCTTTGGGGGATACGAAAGCAATATTATACTATTCGTAATTACTTAATCCCTGTTCCCCTAGGAAGAAAAAAGGATCCTTTTTGTTTATATATAAGAAAGCCCATAACCCAAAAAGTAAAAAGGATCCCTAACACTGATTTAGATTATATGTACTTATTCCGACCCCTATATTAGAGGGTTCGAGGCCCTCAGCCCTGGCCCCTGAGCCTGAGAGCGGCCTGCGCTGCGAGGTGGCCCGATGCCACCCAGCCACGAGCAGCCTCAGCACAGCCAAGGAGCCAAGGCGTTCTTCGGGTTTAGGGTTTAGGGCTTAGGGTTTTCGGGCTTAGGGCTTAGGGCTAGGGTTTAGGGCTCAGGGTTTCGTGTGGACTCTTGATTTGGGAGCTCGTTTTTACCCGGGCATTGGTCATAGGGGCCCCCGGCCCAAGTGCTTCAGGTTTTCGATTCTTGGGCGCCACACCTTGAGAGATGTTTGGGGGAGCATCCGAGTTTGAGGCGTTCAGGGTCCAGCACGAAGCGGTGCGAATTTTTCGAGGCTTCGGGAGCCTCCAGGATCTGGACTTTCAGGGCCTAAATCCCAAACCCGAAGCCCTAAAATCAGGGAAGGGTCTAAAGAGGGCGTATGGCGCTTACGGCCCTGCACTCCGGATCCGGACTCTTGGCCCCCAAAAGGTTCCGGGGTTCGGGTTGAACCGTAAACTCTAGAAACCCTAAACCCCAAACCAGTCGGTTCGTGCTAGAAATTACACATTATGACCTAGGAAGGCCAATGCCACGTAAAACCCTAAACCCTACCCAAAACCAAGCCCTAAACAATCTTTCAGGGCCCCCTGCCCCATGCTGCAGGCAAGTCCAGCAGACCTTCAGACCAGCATTCGATACCGCAAGGTCAGGCTTCGGAAGCCTTTTGTAAACCCTAAACCCTAAACCCCTAAACCCGAAAGCGCCCCCCAAAACCATAGGTTCAATAGGGAGCTGGAGCCTGCAATTGTGGACTCATGGCTGTTGAGATTCTGAATGTTGCCTGACTGTTGGGCGTGCGTATATCAGGTCCGCAGTAATTGCTACAGACAGCTACAACACATACATTGTCAACACTTTCATGCTTGCGGAAGCGGACCTTTCGCGAGCCTTCCGCGAGCGTCATTTGTACATAGTATATACTACAGCAGATAGTACTTTGTATATAGTATAGTATACAGTATACAGTGTATAGTATATAGTATAAATTGTATACTATATACAGCATATAGCATATACTATATAGCAGATAGTATATTAATAGTGTATGGCATATAGCATCTAGTAGAATAATCAATACCGTCTTGTATCTATATGTGTATATATATATATATATGTACAATATGCGGCCTTGGGGGTTTTGGGATAGACAAGCTCCAGCTAATCCAAGCCTCATGGGTCGCGGATCGCGTTCGGGCGCTTGCCGGGTAACTGGCGCGCCTTGCCACACAAGGTAGTGTTTCCGATCGGGAAGCAGGGGATTAGGGCGCTAAGTAGTTTAAGGGCTACGACGAGGAAGAAAGATGTTGAGTTCTCGAATTCCCTACCAAGAACTCGTACCAGAGAGGATAAGGCGTAGGGTTTTTAGGGTTTAGGGTTTAGGGCTTAGGGGTTAGGGTTTAGGGTTTAGGGTTTAGGGTTTAGGGTTTAGGGTTTAGGGGTAGGGAGCTTCTAAGGCCGGGCAGTTCTGGGCTGAAAGGCTGACGCCTTTCGGGTTGCTCCCCCGAGTTAGGGAAACCGTAAACCCTAAATGCTAAACCCTAAACCCTAAACCCTAAACCCTAAACCCTAAACCCTAAACCCTAAACCCTAAACCCTTTCTTGGGCTCCCTGGTACAGTGCGACCCCTTCATGGGGCTTTGGGCTTGGGGACTATGGTCCCTCGTCGGGCGCCTGTTCTGATGCAGGGCCCTTTTGCTTTTAAAGTACCCCGAATAAGGGCTTATAAGGATTAGGGTTTAAGGGTTTAGGGCAACTAACGGCGGGCACATCCTTCAGAGCGCATGGGCAAAACGGGGTAGGAAGCCTCGAAGGGCGCCCTCGCGCTCGGACAGCGGCGCGCTCAACACCGGAAGCATGGCTGGATTCAGCTTTTTTTTTGGTGGGGAGGGGGCTCTGGCTCTCCCAAGACTGGGGTGAAGTTGCCTGATATCGTGGTCAGGGCTTGAGGTGGTCCCAAAAAAGGGGGCCGAAAGGACCGCAAGGTTGAGGGCTAGGCTGACGACGTTTCGGTGGGGGTTTGGGCCCTGCGTGTGGAATCTACTGGTTTCTCGTGTCTGCTTCTGCACAATGCGATGGCTGCCACGTGGGCTTTCGCCACGGCACGAAAGGCAAGTGAACGTGAGCCAAGAGCCAGAGCATGCATTCGGCGCGAGACAGGCCCAAAGCAGGCGAGTTCGAGAGAAGCTGGGGAGCTCGGTTGCAGAAGCCTCAAGAACGCCCTGATTTTTTATCCCCAGGCTGGGCATGGGGGGGTCGCTGGCGTTGCGCCGAGGTCGCCGGGAGCTGGTCCGGATGGCGTCGTAGAGCTGCGGGGAGGTGAGGTCCGGCACCACCGTCGCCGGGCCGCAGTTCACCGCGACGTCGCAGCGCAGGCCGCCCACGTCCTTGCGCACGGCGAGGAGGTAGTAGCCTGGGCTGCAAAAGGGGAGGGAAGGCTACAAGATATCACCAAGAAACCCTCCCCCATCTACCACATCTACGCATACATGAATTTCTTTGTATAATCGCAAAAAAGTACTTATATACATATATATATATACATACATACCGGTAGCCTCGTTAAACTGAACGGCAAAACCCAGGGGCCCAGAGGGAAGTTCTCCAACCAGGTCTCGGAGGCCACGGACCAGGAGAGCACGTGGTGAGTGGAGCGCAGCGTCTCGAGCCAGTCCTTCAGGTACCGCATGTTGTTCCTAGGATGGGCCCAAAGAAAACCATCGGAAAAAGACTCCCAAATATGATCCTCTTAAACCCAAAAAGGGAAGATGTATAACATATCCCAATGGCCCGCCTAGGTTCACGTAGTCGAAGGTCTCCCAGAAGGCGAGGAAGATCACCGCGAAGCCTTCGACGAGGGCGCGGATCCACTCCCGAGACTCAGCGTCGGCCTCGGTGAAGGAGTAGAAGGCGAAGAAGGCGCTCTCCCGGTTGCGGCTGCGATCCAGATGCCTGGAGAGCTCCTCGGCAGCCACGTACGAAGTGCTGAGGGACAACTCCACACACTCTAGGGCTAGTCTTCCACCCCTTCCTACAGCACCTTGACTTAAGTTCCTTACGTTCCGAACCCCAGTACCACCAAGCAAGGGGTAGGTATCACCGGGTGTAGGGTGTAGGGTGTAGGGTTTAGGGTTGTTAGGGCTTAGGGCCCAGGCTCCGGGCCAAAGGAGGACTCGAGGACGATGCGCCCCTGAGCCGCCTCCTTGGAGAGATCCGAGCCGACGAAGGCCGGGACGCCCGCCCGCTGCAGCCAGAAGCGCTGGAGCAGCCTGGGGAGGTGAGGCCGCTTTACCCGAAACCCTACACCCTAAATCCTAAAACCCTAAACCCTAAAACCCTAAACCCTAAACCCTAAACCCTAAACCCTAAGCCCTAAACCCTAAACCCTAAACCCTATCGAGTTGCAGAAGCTGAAATCTGAAAACTTATTTGCACCCGAATCCCTCCAGACGGTTTTTCTTTTCGGGCCTTGGGTCGCGGAAATCTGAGCCCTTCGCCAAGCCCTTTGTCAAGCCCGCATCTCCCTGCTCTGTCCTAAACCCTAAACCCTAAACCCTAAACCCTAAACCCTAAACCCTAAACCCTAAACCCTAAACCCTAAACCCTAAGCGTAGAAGAAAACTACAACCCTCGGGTTGGCGAGGGGTGGGATTGGTGGGCTGTGGCAAAGACTGGTCGTGCTGGCGGACATGGCGGGCGGTGGTGGGCAAGGGGCCGCGGCGAGAATGCCAATGGTGGATGGTGGGTAACAGGTGGAAGTTGGAGATGGTGGGAGCGATAGCGTAGAAGAATGCATACGGCAGATGCCTCATGCACTACTTCCAAAACAAACGGCCCACGCCCGAGACGAAATGGAAGAAGATCTCCACAGCATCTTCCGAATATGAGAATATTGCAAGTCTGAAGAAAGTCAACTTCTTGTGTAGTGTTGCTTTTTTGGCGTTTAACTTGCTTTTCAACGAACTTTCTTCGCAGTACCACTGTGAAAGAAAAGTTCGAACTAAAAACTTTGCTTCAATGATACTAATTCCAGTTTAAAAATAAAACATAACAAAATTAATGCTTACACACGAAGCCAAATAACTCAACCAAAACCCAGCTTTTTCTATGCGTCTTCCATCTGCGCAGCTGCGCTGCCTCACGCCGAGGGCGACATGAAGCCGTCAATGTCGGCCGCCCTCGCCCCTCCCCCAACCCATCTCCGCCCCTCTCCCCTCCCCTCTCCCCTCCCCCCTCCCCCCTTCCCCCCCCCCCAGTTCTTTCTGCTTTTTCTCCCTCCTCCCTGTGAAGGTGCCTCCTCCGAGGATAACAAAGCAGTTGCACCTACCTGCCGGCTCACCCAAAACCCGAAACCCCGAACAAAACCCTAAGCCCTAAACCCTACAGCCCTAGGCCCGCAAGCCCTAAGCCCAAAGCCCTTCAAGCCCTAAGCCCTGAGCCCTAAGCCCGAAGCCCCAAGCCCTAACTGCGTCGGGCTGCAGCATGGGCGGCAGGTCGAAGATGAAGAAGCCTTCGGGGTCTCCAAGTCTGGGGCTTGGGGTTTAAACCAATCTTAGGGTTTAGGGTGGGTTCAGGGTGTAGGGTGCCTCATACATAACCTCCGAAGGCCCTCTCCTCAACGCAGGGTTCGGGTTTAAGCGAAGACCCTAAACCCTCAGCCCTAAACCCGAAACCCTAAACTCTCAGCCCCAAACCCTAAGCCTTTTTAGCCCTAAGCCCAAAGCCCTTGTTAGCCCTAAACCCACAGCCCCTCAACCCCAAGGTCAAGAGTTCAAGAAGCTGCCCGCAAAGCCCAGATCAAACATCAGCGAGGCCAGCTCCCCCGAGCCGCCGCCGAACTCCACCACCTGTGGGGTTTAGGGTTTAGGGGTTTGGGGTTTAGGGTTTGGGGTTTGGGGTTTAGGGTTTGGGGTTTTTAGGGTTTGGGGTTTGAGGTTTAGGATTTGGGGTTTGGGGTTTGGGGTTTAGGATTTGGGGTTTAGGGTTTGGGGTTTTTAGGGTTTGGGGGTTTGGGGGTTGGGGGTTTGGAGGGTTGGGGGTTTGGGGGTTGGGGTTGGGGGGTTTGGGGGTTTTGGGGGTTTGGGGGTTTGGGGGTTTGGGGGTTTGGGGGGGGGGTTTGGGGGTTTGGGGGTTTGGGGGTTTGGGGGTTTGGGGGTTTGGGGGTTTGGGGTTTTGGGGGGATTTTAGGGTTTAGGAGGGTTACAGGGTTTCTTGGGGTTGTAGGGTTTACGGTATGAAGGCCTAGGGCTTGGGGTTTATAGGGTTTTGGGTTTGAAGGGTTTATTGGGTCTGTAGGGTTTACAGGGTTTATTGGGCTTTTCGGACTTCTTGATAGGGTTTAGGTTTAGGGCGTTATGTGTTTACATAGGGCTCAGGTTTCAGGATTTATAGGGCTTAATTCTGACTTCTTTCTAGGGTGTTAGAGTGTTCGGGTGCTAGGGATGTAGGCACCACCTGCAGAAACCGTCCCACATCAACTCGTCGCAACACAGCAACACAGCTCGTCAGCCTCTCTCCGGGGTTTGGGGTTCAGGGTCGCCTCAAAACCCTGCGCCCTAAACCCCAACACATTCCAACACACCCCAATACGTCCAAAAACCCGCAAAAAAAAAACCCTGAACCCCTCAAAACCCCTCAAACCCCATATCACCCCCTATTAAACCCCCCCATAAACCACCAATAAACCCCGCAAACCCTGTAAACCCTACAAACCCTGCAAACCCTAGAAACCCTAGAAATGTAAACCTATAAACCCCGTAAACCCTGTAAACCCTGTAATCCCCAGAAACCCTGTAAACCCCATAAACCCTAGAAACATCTAGAAACCCTGTAAACCCTACAAACCCTGCACACCCTGTAAACACTGTGAACCCTGCAAACCCTATAACCCCTACAAACCCTGCAAACCCTATAAACCCTAGAAACCCTGTACACCCTGTCAACCCCTATAAACCCTACCCTATAAACCCTTGTGAACCCCGTAAACCCTGGCCCTAAACCCTAAACCCTAAACCCCACACCCCAAACCCTAAACCCTCGGGCGCCTGCCCGAGGTCCTCCAGGCGGACCGAGGAAGCTCGGCGCAAAGCCCTTAGGTGGGTGAGGGCCTTGGCCGTGACTTTTTTGGGGGGCGCCATTTGGGGTTTAGGGTTTAGGGTCTAGGGTTTAGGGCTTAAGGTTTAGGGTTTGGGGTTTAGGGTTTAGAGTTTAGGGCTTGGGGTTGGGGGTTTTAGGGCCTAGGGGCTTCCGCAGGTTTTTTCGGGCTCAGCGCTTCCTAAGGTTCTTTGGTGTCTTGGGTTTGGGCAGGTTTTGAGGGCTTAAGCTTCCAAAGGCGTTTTCGGGTTTAGGGCGCAGGGTTTTAATGACTCAGCGGTTGGATGCTGGAGGTCTTGGACCTTAAACTCGGAAGCCCTTGTACAACCCCCGTGTCCCTAACTTCTAAACCCACCCTAAACCCCAAGTCCTAAACCCTAAACCCGAAACCCGACACCCTGCACGCTAAGCCCTAAACACTTTAAACCCTAGACCCTAAACCCGAAACCCTGAACCCTAAACCCTAAACCCTAAACCCTAAACCCTAAACCCTAAACCCTGAACCCTAACCCTCAACCCTTTTCAGGAGAAGGCGCCTGCACTCGCTCCGACCGCACCATGCGGCCTGCCATTGAAAGGTGCCTGCTGCAAGGGGGCCGGAAGCGCCCTAAAGGCCCTGATTGTTCGGGCTTAGGGTTTAGGGTTTAGGGTTAGGTTTAGGGTTTAGGGTTTAGGGCTTGGGGTTTAGGGTTTAGGGTTTAGCGTTTAGGGTTCAGGGTTTAGGGTTTAGGGTTTAGGGCTTAGGGTTTAGGGTTTAGGGTTTAAGGTTTACGGTTTCGGGTTTAGGGTTTAGGGTTTAGGGCTTAGGGTTTAGGGCTTAGGGTTTAGGGTTTAGGGTTTAAGGTTTACGGTTTCGGGTTTAGGGTTTAGTTGATGGCGGTTTGCTTTACATATTCTGTTTGAGGGGGGCGGGGGCGTCAGACAGCAAACTTCCTAAGCCAACTACCCACGAGAAGAGGAAGATGGCAAGGGACAGCACGAGCAACACTCACGGCAAAAGCAACGCACCGAACATCACAAAACCCCTACACCCTACACCCTAAACCCCTAAACCCCTAAACCAAACCCCTCAGTTAGGTTGCGGGCTCCGGGTTTCCGAACGAAGCCTGCAGGGCCGGAAGCAGGGTTCAGGCAGCTTCGGTTTCCGGTTTCGGGGGCTTAAGGGTCCCTCATGGTCATAATTGTTCTCTAACTCGAAGGCCCCCCCCCTAGTAGGGTTTTTGAAGGGTTTCTGTAGGGGAGCTCCGGGTGAATTGTCAGGGTGGCACCTCGTAGTGGGCGCGTTGGAGTCGAACCGGAGTCCGGCCAGCACCGACATGAAAGCTGGGTCGCCTGAAAGGAATTGGGGTTCCGGTTTTGGGGTTTAACGGTTTAGGGTTGAGGGTTTAGGTTTCGGGTTTCCGGTTTCGGGTTTAGGGGGGTCTAGGGGCATTCGGGTATGAGGGCATTCGGGTGTCAGGGCATCAGGGATTACTACGTGACGCTACCCCTCCTTGGAGTTTTTCCAGTTGCCCCGGCTCGATGAGGGACCAGCTAAAGACGGCTGGGTTCCAACGCTTCGGGACGAAATCCGTCCCAAATCGCATGCACTCCTCC